AGCCTGTGTGTGTGCTCTACATTTTACTGCCATTTATTTTACAAGCCTGGGGGCATAAACTGAACGTCTATAGCTGCATAATGGGGGCGAGTGAGGGGGTTCCCATGCCCACGGGGGTTTACCTGGAGAAGGTGGTCGCTTTGAGACACATGGCTGATCTCCAGCTTGCAGGTCAGCCTCACCCCTGCCATCGCCAGGCCTCTGTCGGGCAGCCCATGCAGGATGAAGCTCTCGTAGCCATACAGGTAGGTCTTGCCGGTATGAAAAACTGGCTCTATTGAAAAAGAAAAGGTAACAGAAACACTGCCTTTGCTATGACTGTTGTGATGTTACTCACAAGAGCGATCCCAGCAAAGAAGGGTGAGGCTGCTACTGCCAAAAACTGGGTGCGAGCAGCGGGCACGGCATGGCCGTAGGGGAGGGCAGCGTGGGAGCCGCTGGCTGGGGCTGGAGCGCACTTACCGAGATCCTGCCTCTGGCCCCCTGCGTGGGAGGAGAGAAAAGGACGTGTCAGAAACCCCTTCATGTCTGTAGGCACTTTACATTTATTATTCATTTACTCAGTGTGCTAAAGGTTGGCAAAAAAACCAGTAATGGGCTCCCCGGGTGCACCCCAAACCCCCAGGACACCAAGCCCCACTCTCTAGCTGCTGCTTGCTTGGCTCTTCCCCGGCTGCTAAGCTTAGGCACAGAAATCTAACAGCTTACAGTCAAAGCCGTACAAGGGCTTCAGCACACCGAGCTGTAAATATCCCTGACAAGCCCCAAGGAGATGCAGTTTGCTCAGGATCACAGTGGCCATCACAGCTCAGCTGTGCTGGTAAAGCTTTGACTTACCCACAAGGGTGAGCACCAGAGCCAGGATGAGTCCCCTCATGCTGAAAGCGACTGAAGACTGCAGGGGAAATTGTGCGGCTTTTATAGAAGAATTATTAACAGGCACAGTGAATTTTGTTGAGTTATCAACTTTTTATCAACCACTCAAACCCTTTGAGGGAGAGGGGGCTGGGGACAAGGCACGGGATATTATTGCCAAAACCATCACAACTACTTCTGTTTTCACCTTACCAACTGAATGCACTAAAAGTACTTTTTGAACTAAGTGCTTAAAAGTATTAAAATACAGTTAGTTTGGCTCTAACTAAAATATAGATAGAGCCAAAATATCTATCCTGCAAGAAAAACTACTTATTATCCTTATTCACTGGCAGCACCTGGTGCTATTGCAGTCTGTGCTGACTTTGCCAGGTTATCCTGACCTGACCACGATGCCCACAGCTTATCTAACTGATAGTGCCCGGCAGGATTGTGCAAAGCCCCGGGGCAGCCCTCCTGTGACACCGTGCCCATACCCACCCTGCTGCGAGCGGGAACGGGCTGTCACCCACAGCCCTGCTCTCTGGGGTCAGGGACTTCACCCAGTAACACAAACCTCCCGTCCTTGTCACAGATGCCATGGATAAATGCTGCTGATGGTCATGCTCCCCTCACCTGCCTTCTCTTACAGGACTAACGCGTCAGCCCCTTTCTCCAGCGTGGTTAGCCATGGAGGGGCGTGGGTTGCCCCCGCCAGGTGAGATGGATGAGGCTGATGGGTGTTACAAACCTCTTGGTTTACAAAGGTTTACAAAGTGTGATTCACCCAAACCCATTTCACATCATGCAACAAGGGGTGGCAGTTTTCAACCCACAGTTTGGAGGCAGCCCCACAGGTCCCTCAGGCTGCTCTTGGTTCCAGGGTTTGGCCTGGTCCCTGGGTCCCCCACTGCCAGGACGTGGAGCTGTGCTCAGCTGGAGCAGACAGAGCCACCTGCACTGCTCCTGTCAGCAACAGGCACAAGGAAGGTTATGGCAGCCCCAGGACTGAGGGATTCATGTTGGTGCTGCACAGCCCACCAACCTTCTCCTCCACGAGTGGGGAACCGAAGCTGCTGCCCAGCTCACTGTGGGAAGGGACTGGATTCGGTTTCTCAGCAACAGAACAGCAGCTCCTATCCAAGGCAGTTTAGTTTTCATCATGCTCTTTAGCTGATGTTTTTTGTAATTGGCAGGTGGGATATAATTTATAATGTCTGCCAAACTATGGATTTTGTTCCTAGATCAAAAATTGCATCTCTAGTGTAAAAAAAAACCAACAAACCAACAACCAAAAGAATTTTGAAGCATGAGAAATACTTCACTGTGTTTTTACTGGGACTATATTTTGGTCCTGTTTGTTTTCACCTCTTCCCTTGTAAAATTGATGGGACATGATAGCAAAGCGAATCCAGTGAGTTGTGTTGTGTCTTTGGAGATTTGGTAAACGGTAAATGTAGCTAAAAGATTTGAGTCACTCAGTTAATGGTGACTAGTAACTGAGGCTCAAAAGCAAATATATTATGGCATAACTATATGCAGCTGCATAGATTAAAAAAAAAAACCAAAACCAACCAATAAACCACCTTGTGGGCAGCAAGGAATGGGGGTCAGTGGCAGTGCAAGCAGAAAAGCACTGCTGTGATGACAGGTTAAATGCAGCAATGCTTATATTCAGTGTCTCAAAATTATAGCACTGTACAGCTAAAACACCACGAACTGCAATACTCCTCAAAATAATGGTCCTCCCTGGGGACTCTATGGGCTGTGCCCAGCTGTAAGACCAGGGTCTCCCAAAAACCCCCAACCAAAGGCTTGCAGAGTCTCACCCCCATGCCCACTGCTTTGGGCAGCAAGTGTTGCACCCCTGGTCACCCCAGCCGTGCTGCTGCCATAGGGTGGGATCATCCATACTTCTGCTCCAGGCGAAGGCAAAAGCTGTTGGTGAGGACTTCACCTTTGGGTGTTTCTTTATAGAACGGAACCCTCTTATTTTCTAGATCATTCCTCCAATATGTCAAGAACAATTTCAATGCCCAGCCTGTCCCCTCACACACTCACAGACCTTTCATGCTTCATATTTCTCCAAAGGATGGAACCTGAATTAAAAAGAGAAAGAAAATAAGAAATCATAAGACAACTATGAGGATGATGAAAAACTTTGCTGTGCCCAGGGCCTGCCCTGGACAGCATTTCCTTTGAGCTGTGCTCAGCTCTTTCCACAATGGCAGTGAGGTAGAGGGACAGGGGCTGGCTCAGGCCTCACCGCAGCCCTTTTTGAGATGGACATCCACAGCCCACACCCCCCCCAGTCTCCCAGGTGCTCTGGCTGCCATGGTGGTTGGGTGATGCTCACCTGTGGGTCTCCTGCTGGGGCGTTACTGCTGAGCTCGTGACAGCCCTCGCACCTGAGCACGGAGGATGGAAGAGTAGAGTCATCTCCAAACCCATGTTCTGGGCTTGGTAGGCTGAGAAGAGAGGAACCCAGGGGCTGGCCCCACCGGAGCTGGGAGCTCATGCCAGAGCCTGCTGTGGAGCCCAGCCCTGGGGTTCATGCAAAGCCCCGGCTTCTGCTGGATTTGGCCTCAGGGATTACCTGGGAAGCCTGTGCTTCCTATCACTGCTGAGTGTGACTTCCAGGCAAGCAGCAAACCCACCAGCTCACTGCTTTGCTGTTGCTGCTGCTGGTGGGTAGTGCCCAAACACAACACCTCCCCATCAAATTGCAGCACAAGGTACCATGACAGCATTTAAACTGTATATAACTGCATATTTATGCCTGTCTTTCAAACATACTCTTTTTGGTACTAAGGACATCAACTTTCCAAACTATAAAGCTCATACATGCATCCATGGAAGCTGCTGGGGAAAGCCAAACCACACAATTTTTACAGAATGTTGTCAAGTGCTTTCATAAATTGGCCAGTGATTACCGTTCCAGCCCACAAGGTCATAGGTAAGTGCCATTTTTCTTCATTGGTTTCTACTGATTGAGCCAAATAACTTGCTTCTCTTTTAATTAATTTACTGAAGATCTACATTTGTAACAATTTGGTAGGATCACATTCTACTTTGCATTAACAAACTGCAATAGAAAAAAATGAATGTGTGTTCAGTCAGTAATAAAAATGGTTGAATGTGTGTTATTAATTGGGAGAACGCTGATGAATTAAATTTCAGAAAATACAATACCATTTCTATTGAAATTTCTGAAAAACTTATGATGCCAACAAGCTCATTAGCATTGACGGTTGTGTCTACACCATCTCCTAAGGCAATTCTATGCAAAACAAATTCACCTGATGTGCATACTTGGCCTGCAAACACAGCCTTAGGGAAAAACAGAAAACATCTTCCAGGTCTGCTGGAATCCTTTGGGCTCCAGCACTGACAGCAGATGAGCACACCCCTAACCATGCCCATGCAGATCTGCAGCGGGTAGGCAGGAGGCAGAGCCCACCCACTGATGGTGGCCACAGCAAAGGCTCGTGCTGGGCAGAGAGGCTGGGGCATCTCACCCAAAGTGCAAAGGTCTGGCTCAGCTTGGGACCCTTTGGCAGGTACTGTACTTGGGTAAGTCCACCATGCCCTATTCAAAAACCCCTGGTTCCCACTAACTTCTCATGGGGTGCATCAGGAACATAACATGTTCTTGTCTCCCTCAGAGCAGCCTTGTCCAGTGGCATGAGGTTCAGGCTTATTTCCTGATCTTGCAGTTCCCTACAGCAGCATCAGCCCACCAAGTAGTTATTGCAGGACACCACGTCTGTGTTGCTGTTGCATCACACAGAGGTGATCAGTTCCTGCTCCAGGTGTGCAGGATGGATCCCAGCACCAGGGAGGAAAAGCAGTGGGGGAAGCAAGCATGGTACCACAGCTACCCAACCCATATCCCTCATGGGGCCCAACACAGACACGTGCCTGGTGCACAAAAGACAGTCACAGACTCAAGAAGTCTATGAAATAGTGGGTGAGGAGAAGCAACATAAACATCCTCTTTCCATAACCAGTGAAATAAGGAAGCCTTCACAATTTTTCCCATGCATGGATTTATTATGAAATCAGATATTTATGGACAATCATAACAGTTTCTACAATAATAAAGTTTAATACTTTAAATTACTTGGGAAGATTCCACACGTCCTTAAACACTTAATTTAGTATCCGTATTATTTCTTAAGATGAGTTTTCTTACACCGCATAATAAAAACATTCAAGTGTTTCTGTTTTCTCCTGTGCTACAAAGTACAGCTTCATGCACTGCAGTCTTCGTTCTCACAAGAACATGCTATGTGTGCATCAACAGTGTCCTGCATGTCCTCTGACTTCTGGTCAAACTTTGTCTGTTTGTCCGTCAGGCTGGTCGCTGAGTCTGATGGGGAACAAGAAAATGAAAAGTAGTTTTGCAAGGTACAGCATTTACCATGCACTACTCCTTAATTACAGCAGGCTTGGCCTCTCCTCACTAGCTTACATATTTATTTTTGTCTAAGTCACGCAGAGATGTTCTAGCAAGCCCACTTAATTAATAAGCCAGTTCTACCTTGTCAACTACTAGTTCCATATAGAGTTTTATTAATAATACATTTGGGAAATGATATTGTGGTCTTAGAGGGAAAAAAAAAAAATGGAAAACAGACATGAACCCATCATTATATAATTTATATCTATCTAATCTAATATCTTAGAATCTACAGTACACCTGTAAAAAAGACATCCTCCTACATCACTGCACCTGTGTGTAGGAATCCCGTCCACACCTGCCCTTCTATGGCCTAAATCAGCCCAGTGAAATAGGATCACGCCCAAAGGCACTGATATATAAAAATATACAAGGGGAGGATGCCTGTTTCAGGGTGCTGCACATGATCTGATGTGGCTGAATCCTCACTGGCTGCAATACACAGATTTTCAGCTGAATCACAGTGCTGACTGTGCTGTTACCCTGCCCTCACCTTGTGAGCTCAAAGGGAGTTCAGTTTAGATTTTAAATTCCCATATAGTAGAAAACGTAGTGAAATTACAACAGAAAAACATCTCTCTCACTAAAGAAAGTTTTACATGTTAATGAAAAGAGGGAAGCATCTTCAGTCAATACCACAGTAAGTCCATCCCTACCGGTGGGTATGTTAGATTATTCATACGCTTCTAGTGGAATAACCAAGTCAAGGAACAATCTACTTAGACTTTTGTGCAGCTCCTGTTCAGTGAGATTTCTGTTTACTTACCAGCTGGCAGACAGTGGAAACCAACAGTGACTGGGGTAGTCTTGGTGGCTGAGCACCCTTTCATGCAGCGCAGCACGGGCTCTGTAGAATAGCACTTGGACTCGACACCCGCAAGCTGAACTGTCTTCTCAAGCTTCACAAAGGAGTGTCGCAGTTTGCAGGCTGTAACACAATCATTGGTGACAGTTTACCTGCTTCCATTCAAACCCTGCAGCTCTCCCCCGAAGGACCCGTCTGCCAACACTGCCAATTTGCAAACTACTTTCCTCTATGAAAACTGTGTTTTGATTATAAGTGAAGCAGCGTCACTGACTGGCAAGCTTTTCAAATCAGCTAAGTAGATATGGAGCTACAGAAGGTTAATTTCAAATGCAACTGGTTTATTTCTAGATTAGCATGTAGAAACACAGTCTGATGTACTTCCTAATAAACATTTTTCAAAGCGAACTGGCTTACCGAATAGCTGCAAAACCACACTTGAAAGTGTTGAATACTAAGTAGTGGAAATAAAGGAGGGATTTCTGACCAAATAAAAATATTGGTGCAGAGAGTAACCAAAAGTCATTGCTGCCAGCCAGTAATACTGATTGCATTTTGGATTCCCAGGACTAGCAGTTACAAGTCTGTGAGAAGCTAAATGGACCACAATTTATTCCTGACTATAAGCTTTATTCAGTAAAATTCCAGCTGTTTCCACCATGTGTTAGATGGAAGCACAGCATGTGGTTACTATCATCCATGGGAATACTATTGTGCACATGCACGTGGACTCCATATCCATCTAAAGGAAGTTTGAGGCCCACTATTCTTTACAAACTTAGAGCAGAATAAGAGCTGATGTACAGCTAAACATGTAGAAGCCATCTTCAGGGACTGAGGAAGTCCTTCCCAGCAGGACAAATGTTCTTTACAGAGGCAATGTGCCTGTTCTCCTTGCAGCACTATGGTTCGCTGTTGCATCATAACCTCAGCTGGGAGCGCTGAGTGCACCATAAGATCCTAATCTCCAGAAACACTTAAAATGCAGCTTTTCTTATTTCAACCATGTAATTAGGTCCCTGGAACTGCTCATGTGCTTGAGTGCTCTGCCTGACAAGTTGCACTGGTTCAAAAATCAGATGGTCAGCCAAGGTAAAATAATTACTAATCCCCATCTGATTTTTTGATGGATCGAATACTGGCTGGAAAATGCTGTTGAGTCTGAATCAAAGCACTCCGTGTGAATTTATCCTCTTACATTTTTTTCTGATCTTCTAAAACACTTCAAAACCGAAACAAAGATTTTGTTTCAGCTTGGTTATTTAATTTGAACCGACTTGTGGTTTTCGGCTTGTTTGTTTAACTTGTAATTTCTTATTCCTAACTAAACTGATGAATATTTTTTTATACCTAATATAACTTAATATTGAACCCTTTTAAAATGTTTTCTTCAAAATGTTTATGGATTTTACATTTTCTAAATAAATTCTACATTTTCAATACAACTGCAGAAATATTATATTAAATTTATTACAGCTTGCATACCTCCTGTACAAGGCTTTTCTTCCAAAATCCAAGAATGCCCGAAGCTCACCGCATCTTTAGCTACATATCCATTGGGCATCCGGTACTCCTCTTCACATTCTGCATCATATTTTCCACACATTCCACACATTTTCCCTGCCATCCATAAAGCAACTTGAATCTTCAAGGAAAAAAACAAACAAACAAAAAACAGAGACATTTTAAGTTAAAAAAAACAAAACCAACCCATGGAGCAGATTTTTTCTATGTAGGCCCCTTTCAGTATAAGTTAATGAGCAAACATTTAAAATCTCTTTGCTAAGAATTCAAAAGGGTCTGACAGACAGATGCCAAACTCCTGTGATGCTGCAGCGACTTTAACTGTTAAAGCCTTTAAAACCTGCAGTGCCAGTCTAGAATGTTAAAGTATTAATAGTCTAGGCTATTAATATGCTGAAGCTTTTGTTTGATGGATGTTTTCATAGAATAGGTGATAGATACAGCATGGTTTACCAATTTCTTACATTTTTCCTTTCATGCTGTTTTTAGTGCAGCTTTTAAAAGAATGGCTGCGTTTTTTGCCGATTTAAGGAATGATGTGGCTGCCAGAAGAGTGGACAGGAGCTGGAAACTCATTTTTCTCACAAATACACTGCTGGGTCAGTGTGCGTACGCTCACAGGCCCGTTTCCCAACGCACACCTGTCCTGCAAGAATAAGGTATTTTTGTTGGTCACTTTTCCTACTCAGAAATAATGAGCAGGACTGTGCAATCCAGTAGTTTCATCTTCGCTTTTGGGTTTTTTGGACCCTGCACAGATTTGGTTTTGCCACTCTATGCTCTTGCACTCACACATACAGATTTAAGGGAATCCTATGGTAATTTCTCCACACCTAAGAATACAAAGAGGAAGAACTATACCCTGAATGTGTATCCATCAAAGTACAGTTTATCAATGCCATAGGCTGGGGCAACAAGTACAAGCCCTTGATTTTCACTGTGGATCCACAGAGGAGCACCTAGAAAGAAAACAAAATAAAGCAAAGCAAAACCAAAACCAAACCTAGGCCTAACCTAGCTTCTTTAAGAGAGAAAATAGCAACTGTCATGTTTCTAAAATGTTCTTTTCCTTGAAATTCCTCAGTTGTTCTATTCAAGAAACAAAACACAGCAAAATGATGTAGAAATGTGTATGTATAGAAAATAGATGTTTGTAAAAAGTTGGCAAATAGTTTTAATGATCACAGATATACTCATTTTCTTTGGGTAATTAACACATTCATATTTATTTCTAGAAATTATTACACAGCTGTCTGTAATATCTGTATATTTGTGCAGATATACAAGGCCCTGAGTACACTATATTGGAGTGAGGAAATACAAGGAACACTGTGACTCTGAAGCCATTTCTAGCACCGTTATCACTTCCCAAGTATGTAACAAATAGGACAGAGCTCAGCACTGGCAGATGCTAACCCAATTTCAGCAAGATTTAGTCTGCTTCATATATTATGGCTCTACAGTCAGGAAATACCTGCATTGTATATAACCCCTGACTGCACAGCACAGAATGAAACAAGGTTCTCCTGTATCTTTCACAGAAAATAATCTATTTCTGGTTCGAGAGAAGAAAGCAGGCTGTTTTTCCAGTTCTCCATATATTATTTCTAGCATATTTCAGAATGCTAGCAAAATCTATACCTACAAATCAAATTAAGAAAAACATCGATGCACAAGCGTGGTGAGTTCTAGAAAAACTCTACTTCAAAAAGTTTCAATCAAGCAAGATTTGAGTGTTTTGGTAGTATAACCAAAACACTTCTCAAACTTGGAACTCAGCAGGAGCTGCAGTAATGTGCGAAAAGGAGGGATCTTCATGTTAATTATATCTTGCTTACTTTGGCCACTTCAAGAGCTTTACACTCTAATCATAGTCTTTCTAAGTGTTCCTATGAAAGTGAGTAAAATAGATGTTCTTAAATATTAACCTTACAACCAAAGGTGGAAATACTTATTGAATACAGACTGATGGCATTTGTTTGATGGAATTTTTCTTTCTTTCTTTCTCCTAAGACATACGTGAAAATGAAACAACAGATGCTGCATCACTTACCAGCAGATATGTATGAAACGTTCGTGGTGGGGCTTTCAACCCCATCTACCAGCAGTTTCACCTGTCCGTTCACAGGGTGCATATCAATTTCACTGTTGAGGAGAAGAGCATTCATAACCTGTTTGTATCCCATTCACACGCATACAGCGACAAAGGCATTTTCCTGCTCACTAAGTATCACTGATCACAGCATAAGCTCATTTCAACTACGTAAATTACATCAGGGGTATTCTTGTCACCTAAGATGCAGGGGAACATCATCAGCGTCAGACTCAATATGCATGGAAAGGAAATAAGGGAAACGCTGAAACCCCACGGGCTGTTAACCATTGCAGTAAAGCTCAGATCTAAGCTCCTCTCATGTTAAACATGGACAATGTGGTCCTTCACCGCTCCCAGCATCTGGCAGGAGTTACTTACTGACTGCCGAGCTTGATGTTGATTGCTTTCAGGTTCAGGCCTTCTTCAGCATTCCTCATCATCACCAGGAACTTAAGGTCGGAGCTGCAATCCTGAGCCAAGATGTGGTAGCAGTTTGCCGGCATTGTGTAGTTAAACTGAACATCATTAAAGGTTGTGATCTTGTTGTGGGAAACGGAGCAGCGAGCTGGTTAAATAAAGCACCAGTGAGTATTTGCTTTTCCATAAAAGAAAGTCATTAAATGGCATATGTTATTTTTAGTGCTACATAATTTTAGCTTTGTATTTTTTCCACAATGTGATATTTTTGTATGGATTACAGGGGCTTTGGGCTTCTGAGCACCCATAAATTCTAAAAAAGGCATGGAAAATACACTCCTCTATCTAACAAAAAATAATTGCCAGAAAGTTTAAATGTTATCAATTTAGATAATTGGTACCTTGATCCCTGAAATGCTGATGATTTCTGTACTATATGCACAGTATTGCCTCCCTGTTGAACTATCCTCACATTATTACAGCACATTGCCTAATGAACTGTAAACAAATAATCCCAGAAAAATTCAGAAGGTTCTCAAGTAAATCAGGGCACTGAGGACAGCATCCTTCTGAACCCAATTAGACCCTGACCTTTCAAATTCTCAAGCACTGCAGAGGGGGCTTCAGCAAAGACATTCCAGATGGGAGGCTGCAGCTCTGAAGCTGGTATCCTCGGACCTACAGGGAGTGGCAGGGGAAGCCTCATGGCTTTTTCGTAGAGGATCATCTGAAAAGGAATTCAAAAGCATGTTCAAAATACGTGTGTGCCAGGTATTCAAAGCATACAGCTGCGATCAGCTTTTTCTCCTATTTGAAATTTGATTTTAATTTCTTCTACTTTGATTGACAAAGACTTTATGTGAACACAGCTCATCTGACTCACTGTCCATGAGCTTTTTGCTTCTGCTTACAGTTTTCTCTCATGGTGTGGGTCATCATTCAGATATTATTTGGGAGAGAATTAATTACTCCCCTTCTAAGGTGATCAGGTGAAAACTTACAGAGTTACTAGAGATGGAAACGCATGTCATTATGAGTACCCATGGCACTCTCTTTTTCCATGAACAAAATCAGTGTATGAATATTCTTGGATGTAATATTAAAAGGTTGAAAATAACAAAAGTTATTTTCATCATTTGCACGCAAACTGATGCTTACTTGATTTTTCTTTCTAAGAATTGGCTTACTGTAATTAAAATGCAACAGTCTCATTTTTTTACTAGGAAAAAAATAGGAGAGCGATAATAATAGTTCATAATTACATCAGGAAGCTTGACAACAACATCACATGTCCTTGGAGAAGTTAGGGCCACGATCACCCTGGCTTGTCGAGAAGGATTCTTGTCCATTTTTTCAGAGAACCCCAGCATAAATGCAGCCCCAGGGACAAACTTGTAAAACCTTCAGAAATTCAAATCAGAAAGATCTGGTAAAATTGAGAAGCAAAAAGCAGCATGCATTGCAACCAGGTTGTCTCACATCTGTGTGTAATTAGTTACAGAGTCTTCTGGATCACTGCTTAGGTCCTCATGACCACTTTCTGCTTTACTGATCTAGTGTTCAGTGAAAGGAAGGATCTGTTCCTCAGTTTTCAGTAATTATGTCCAATATAAAGAATTACTCTACATTACAATAGGATGGCTATGATCTCCCACTCAGCTTTTATGTCCAAAGGCAGTACTGAGATAGATCAGAGAGTAAAATAATAGTCAGTACTTTAACCATTAGAGCCTCATGGGTGGATAATGATTTTTCTCAGTTGACCGATATCATGAATGAGTATCACTGAAGACTGAAACCTCACCAGTCTGCTATGGATCTGACACTCGAAGGAACTTTAGGCCACTCCACTTTCACTTGTGCAGCAGGGTGGGCAGCAAACCGCCCAGTTACCAGCTCAGTCGAAATCTTGTAGTCCTGGCAATTCCGGCCCCATTTCAGGTAAGCCTTTAATGGAGAGAGAAATAATCAATTTTTAAATGCATGGAACATGGTTTACCTGTGATGCATACAGCTGTATATAACTATTTTCGAGCCTTACCACTGCCTTGTGAGCATTGAGGACTGAAGCATCAGCACAGAGCTTCCACTTGCTTGAGTCTGTGAGGTTTGACACAAACACCTGCACCCGGGGCCTGATGGAGTCAATATCAGCATATACCACAAGCTGGAGTCCTCCTGTCTTCTTGTCATTGCGAATGCGATGAAGGAAAACAGCTAATACTGGTGTTTTAACATCTCCCAAAAACTTAGGCTAAGAAGGAGGAGGAAAAAGTATGCAAAGAAAATAAAAAATAAAAGAGTTACCATAGAACATTTTAGATGCAAGATTTATATAGACAAATGAAAAATAAGCAACTGAACTGCAAATATATACCAGCATATGTACCACATATATACACATGCCTATAAACTCTGATGCATATGTCTTTAATGTGCATGTGCCTATGCGTGCACGGGTGGATTTTAGCACTAAATTTTGTATGAGCCAAAATTTGTGCCATTTCCTGAGCTACAGCTGATAACATGGAAATATTCATATCGTTAGGATAGAGTAAGGACTATATGATTTGGGCTTCAATGTTAATACCTATACATTTGCCTGTGAATGAAAGTGGTTCAATTTGACTAGCAACATCAGCTATCAGTTGTATTCATCACTCTTTCTCACAATTACATCCCCCAGCTAGTGTCCTCCCATTTAACTGTCTCATTGGTCTATTGGCTTTCACCTCACACTTCAGCTGGGAGTTCTGTGGAGCAGGCAGGTTTTGTGTTTGCAGAGCACCTTAGCACAAAATATCATTCAGGACATTGTCTTCGATATCAAGAACCTCCCCCTTTGACAACAGCACCTTAAGCATGCTATAGCCTGCAATTCCTTCACTCCATCTATAGGCTTCACTCCATCAGACTGGGTGGTGGTGAGGAACCAAGGTGCTACATGTCACCTCTGGAGCTTGCCTTCTGCTGAGGGTCCTCTTAGCCTTGGCCTCCACCACCAACGTCCTTGCACTGCCGCTACAGACCTCAACTTCCCTGCAGAGGTCACGAGATCAGTCTCTGCAGGCATCTGTTGGGTGGGATTCCCATGAGGGAAGGGTCCTGGTGCAGGTAAGAAGGACCCTCACCTCACTGCAGAGGAAAGTGTGTGTGGGAACTATGGTGCATATCTCTCCTGATTGATACCTGAGACTTGAGAGTATTTCTCTTTTCCCATTACCCCGGCTGTACAACTACCGCAAATGCACACCCACTCTGCCGTTCTTCCAAGCTGTCAAAAAACCCTAAAGATTATGCAACTAACCCGGGAAGCAGCTCGAGATGAGGCACGACTGGATCTGGTAGAGGAGGATGTGCTGCTAAGTTGGTCAGCTGGGAGCTTCCTTTTTGGGAACTGCAAGAAGAAAACACATCGTGCTCAAGAAATTGCACCAGGCAGTGCTGCAGAATGCTCTATGTCATGGCATTTGGTGTTGGTAAACTTGCATTCCAACCCTGAGCAGCTCAATGACTTGCAATATGCTTTGTCCTACTTAATACATGTGATCTAGCTCTGAAAAAATCTTGTTTACCCAAATATATCTGACCCTTCAGAAAAGACAAATAAGTAACATGTCTAGATGAGAATTCCCTGTGGGAAAAAACAATGGACCACAGCAAGTAAAATTAAATATGATTGAAGCCTCTTGATTGAATATGAAAGATCAGAACTGTTTCAATATACTTCTGGAAAAGCGTGATCAATTGGAGGACACATTGAATGGACCAACTGAATGGAAAGGATCAACTGAATGAACACACACAATTGAACTTTTTACTTTTTGAGGAACACTAATATCAAGTACACTGCTCCTGGCTGGCTCACGCCCTAGTAAGAGTATCCCACTGAACTAAAGTACCATCCTGGTGTCTATCAACAGTGACTCCAACCCAAGAAACCAAGTAACCAAAGCCAGTCCCTTGTACTGCTTTGGCAGAGCTTTGCAGCTACTTGGCAGAGCCACAAATGGCATCATGTGTACGACAAAATGAGAACATAGCTCTCTGTCTTTACGCATCTCAGAAGAACCACCACAGTTTATTTGGTGTTCTAAATGTTACCAGCACTGTAATTTTCCTCAACAAAGACAACAAGTTGCCTTTAAGGTTTCCATTTGACTCTTGACATATTCCATGCTGAATTTACTGAAGAAAGAAAATCTTACCTCTTGTCTATGCGCTGATCTAAAGCGATACTGATAGATCTCATGATTGTCCTTTGAAAATGATAAAAACAAGAAGATTAAAAGTCTCAGAAGAAAAGAAATACTGCAATTACATTGAAATCTGAGGACTGGGAATTAAGTAAAGATTTTACTGATTATCATTCAGACATAGTTCTGTATGCTTAGTCACAAGCACTTAATGCAAGATTTGAAGTAGTTTATATAAAGCATTAATGTTCCTACAGCAAAATTAAGACAGAAACATGCAATGTATATTGACAGGAAGCAGTAAATTGGCAAAAAATGGTTCCCTGTCTGTAACAAAAGTTTCAACGGACTTGTGGAAACTTTTGAGATGCTTTGAAGTAGACATCTGAGCCAATGATTGCAGGTGTGTTGCAGAATAAATTTTGCTATTTTATGTTGCTAAAATTTACTGTGTCAGCTCATATTTTCCTGATTTATGATGCAAAGCCAGCTGCCTTCAGGAATGTGATTTACAGACATTAGCAGCATCAGTCAATTTACTGGCAAAGTTACCCATATTCTGGAATATCTGTTGCCATCGCTGCTGCTGCTGCTGCTGCTGCTGCTGCCATCTTCCAGATGTCCTGAATGATGCCCATGGCCATGGTGACCCAATGACCGCCTGCTGCTGCTGCTCCTACTGCCACTGCTGCTACTTTTGCTACTGCTGCTGCTGCTCTTGCTACTACTGCTGCTGCTGCTGCTCTTGCTGCTGCTGCTACCGCTACTGCTCTTGCTGCTGCTGCTTTTACTACTGCTGCTACTGCTGCTGCTTTTGCTACTGCTGCTTTTGCTGCTCTTGCTCTTGCTGCCACCACTGCTGCTGCTGCTGCTCTTGCTGCTTGCATCTTTGTCTCCCTTTAGCTTTACTTGCTCATTCTCATCTTGATCTGCAGCCTTTTTAGGATCAGGAGAGGCAGCAGATGATGAGGCAGAAGAGGAGGCCGCTGAGGAGGCAGAAGATGAGCTGGAGGGATTTTTTGCATCAGGGTCCGCCCCAAGCTCTGTTAGCATGGTGGTGCCTTTCTTAGAAGGCTGCTTCTTCTGGTGTCGTGTTTTATTTGCAACCTGCAAAAACAGTTCAAAGAGAAGGGCAAGAGAAGCGATACACCAGGTTCTGTATTTGCAGAGCAAAACTTCTCTGAGCATCAGACAAGCTGCTCACGTCAGCCTTTCAAGGAACAACAATTTCCCTGCCTCACTCACTGCAGAAGCTGCAGAGCTCCCCTAGATCCTCTCTGCCCAGCTGAAATCCAGCCCAGCACGGAGGACCAGTGCCAGCTGGATGCACCCCATAGGATCAGTCCCTCCAGATGTGGCACTGGCTGATGGGCCTGGAACTGTCACTTTTCAAACCAGCCCCATCTTTGCTTTCCCATGCCGCCTTTCCACACTGAACTGCAAATTCTTTGCTTCATTTATGGGAAAATATTCCCCCTTCCCATGTTTAGTCTCTTACCTTGAACACATTTTCAATGCCTAGAATCTTCTTCAGTTTAGCTTGAACGTCCTCATATGGAGATGACTCATCCTCTTCCTCAGACTCTGAGTTTACCACATGAATTATTTTGGAAGCTGCTCTGGATCCTGCCTGAATCTCCAGCTGAATTTTGTCAATATCAGCACCTGTTTGAACTGCACACCAATTGCACACATTAGGAGGTTATACTGCTTCAAATAGCACCGACAAACCTAAGATGACAAGGCTTGTGCTCAATATTTTACCTGGCATCACGACTATTTTAGCTTCATGTTCTCCAATTAGTCTGTGCAAATACGTATTTTTCAGGAAACTGGCATCTTGTGACCTTCTGGAAAAGCAGAGCTGACAACCAAGATGATGCAGTTTGACGCAAATGTCTCGTTTATGAGCTTTTCTTCCTGTGCCATGGCGAAGATCCTCTTGAGAGCTATCGGCATGTTTCCTTGGCATGCTGTCAGCTCCTTGCTGCATTGGAGATGAGTATGTGAGTACCACTGGGAGCATATCATGGGCAAGAGTAAAACTGCAGCCATGTGCATCACGGAGAAGGTAAATATTACTATATAAGCAAAAAGGAATAGGTTACCATTGTGAAACCTTCACTGGAAGCTCTCTCTGATGGCTTGAAAGGTTCTTCCACAATATTTGATGAAACATCTCCTGGGAGAACTGAGGTCCTCTTTTCAACACCTAGTTCTCCTATATTTCTTGATACTGCAAAAGCCTTATGTCTGTTGAGATACATGCAAAAAATGGGGAATTATTCCAACCCCTTGCCTTTGGATTAAGTTAAATACATCCCTGTCAGTATCATGTGACAACATAGAGATATTGCGTTTGAACATAAGGATTGTATATGCAACTATAACCATAAATATTATTAAAGTAAAATAAGAGTTCATAACATCAGTTCCTCATATCACAGGAATTTTTAAAATCTGGATAAATTTTTAAAAAAATCCAAAACATGAAAGACATTAATTTAAAAATAAAAATTAAAAACCCTAAAAGACAATAAAATAACAAATGAAAATTAATACAAAAATTAATAAATTAAAATAAAAATTAAACTCTTAAATAATTTAGGTAGCTTTTGACTTTTAGCTCCCCTGTTTCTCTTCTTTGGTCTTTATCTCAAACATTCCACTACACACTGAAAAGCCACTCTGCCTATTTAGAAACCTATGTAGGAGGTCAATGAATAGTGAATAGAACTTTGTAAGGTTTCAGCACAGGCAGTATTCTGAAGCAATGCTACTGTACCTTCCAACCACTATCTCAGTTTCCTCATGGCATGGATTTGTTTCAATCTTAATATTTTTCAGTTTCATGTCTATCTTGGCATCAAACTTCATTGGCACTCTTGTCAGGACCTTGCCTCGAATCTCAACAGCATGTTGAAAGTATTCTGTGTTGACACCCATTGTTGCGACTGTCTGTATGTACAAGCTGAAACAGAGTGAAGCAGCCAGATGTAAGAAAGGTGCTCTTTTTTAACATCTCTGCCTTTCCATAAAACCTCTCCATCATATGTAAAAATCTAGAAACCTGCCATACCTTGGGTTTATGTCAGACCGAATCTGCATGGTGGATTCAAGCAACTGGGAAGGCCTAAAATCTCCAGTTAAAGGGGGACTCATCTTTCCATCAACTGCAAACAACAGAACAACATTTACACATGGTGAAAGTGAAAGACAGGATTTTAATTTAAGCAAGCCACAGTTTTCAGGAAGAGGTAATATTTTTGTTAATACAACAAATATGGCTGCAAAACGGACAGACTTTGGGGTACCTGAGATCTTTTATGAGTCTGAAAAATACTGAAAACATACAGAAAGCTTGTTCCGTAGGCAAAGGTTCTGATGCAAAATATTGAAAATGGAAATAAAAATATAGTAAGAAAATAAAGAGCTGACCCAAATGGAAAGTTTGTTAATTAGTATAACATTAAAATTTCAGAAACATGAGGAGCCAGAAGACAGAGTGATGGTGGGCAACCAGGCTAAACAAACTCAGCTCTTCAATCTTTTCTCACATCAAGTGTGAATATCTTTCTTGTACTGCGGACTACAAACTGATCATTATACTCCAGATGCAGCCTCAGCTGTGCTAAATAGAGGGGAAAATCATTTTCATGCTAGCTCTGCTCTTGCTATTGCAGCCAATGATGCAGTTGGCCTTCATCACCACAAGAGCACACTGCTGGTTCATGTACCAGCTTGTCCTCCAGGCCTTCCTGGCCCTTTTCTGCAAAGCTGCTTTCTGGCTGTGTGATACCCAGCCTGTACACTTGCGTGAGTTACTCCTTCCCAGGTGAAGGACTTTGTCAAATTTCATCACACTTCTGTCAGGCCATCCCCTTCAGCCTGTCAGGGTCCCCTGGGGTGGCAGCCCAAGCCCCCAGTGCAGTGACTGCTCCCACCAATTCAATGTCACCATTGACACAAATTAGCTGACGGTGATATAATTTCTGAAGTTCAGATTGTTAAAAGACAGTGAAAAAGTGTTAATATTGGAGGGACGTTGCTCATAACAAGCCACTAATTGGACTTTCATCTGCTGACTGTTCTTGAAGACCAGCAGTCCAGACAGCCTTCACTCACTTTGTAGCCCCTCTGTCCAATCCATACCTCCCCAACTTGGCTACAAGGATGTTATTTTAAACAAACAAACAAAAAATAAAAAATACCCACAAAAACAGGGGCAGGGGTTCAAAGATATTATTAAAACAAGCTAACAGACCAAAACCCAAGAGCAGGAAAGACTGGGCACATATGAGACTTCTACAGAGCACAAGTGCATATACTTCAACCTTCATTCCTTATGGGGTGTCAGCAGAAGGACGGGTCAGTTTTGCCAAAATTAAAAGTCACAACAAACAGAATGATCATTGATTTAACTTCTTGATAAGTATTCATACTTGTGTATTTATTCTTTTAAAAAAGAGCTCTGTCTCTTTTCTCAAGCCCTCTTCTCTTCCTGCCTTCTCTAACATTATAGGTAATTCTCTTTCGATTGTTTTCTATTTTCTGTTTAAATCACCACTGAATCCTGCTTAACTTGTGTGTGCATCTCTCAGGAGCCACCTCCTTCCGCCCATGTCTGCATCAGCTCCCCAGGCAGTTCTTGTTTTTTCTGGCCTTGAATGCTTGAACATTCTCCCTCTGGTTCCCCAGATTGTCACCTGACCTTCTCTGTCTTCAATCAATTCAAAGACAAGACAAAATTCAGCTGTGTCCAGCTTCTCTCCAAACATCTTCACTACCTCCCCTCCACTACAAAATGTAGTTCTTTTTCTAACTTCCTGCTTTCCCACCTCTTTCTCCAGCCCCCCACTTAGCCTGGCCCTCTCATCCCCCACTCAGGGCTCCCAGAGCCCATCTCATACTTCCCAACTCACCGTTGACTGCCGCACGTGCCAGAGCGGTTGTGTATGACCCGTACTCCAGCGGCAGACCAGTGCAGGTCGGAACGATGTATCGCAGCTCCCCCAGCCACATGGGCTGTGTCCATTGCCCTGCGATGCCATTGCGGATTTGGCTGGCGATTCTCTTCATGGCTGCGTTCCTGTCAGCAGATTCTAGCACAGTCTGCGGTAAAACAGAGATCCAAGAGGTTGGGATATAAAAGTAGGGTGGTGTCAAATCTTGCAAAGAAAAGTAGGGGTCCCTGGTACCTTCATAGCCTGATGCAGGACTTCCTTATTGATGTTGACGTAGGCTATCTCTTGGCCAAAGAGTTTCAAGTAGGCTGATATCAAGGGGGTTTCTGTTGGCAGCTCCTTCCATCCCAGCAGCTAGGGAACAGGGAAAGAAACAAGCAAAGTTCCTTAATGCAAAGCTTTGCAAATGGTAATTCAGGAAGGTGACCAGACTTATCACTGACCAAGCTGCAACTTCCCATTGCTGCTTGTGTTTCTCTGCTGTTTTTGAAATAGCACAGTGACACTAATTCAGAGTTCCTCACAGCCATTGAGATGCCCAAGAGTAGCCTCCTGCCCAGTGTTTTGCATTTGGTGCAATAATTTTTACACAGGGGGTCTGGGCCATTAGTACCACTAACCCCAGTTTGAAAGCACAGCAACAAATCATCTTTTCTCTTGAAGACAAAGGTATATTCTCATAAGCTGAGTGTGGTAGATGAAGGGAGGGAGGAAGCCTGCCAGGCATGAGGCACACGCTGTGCTGCGATGCCCGCCTCCCCAGGGCCAGAGCAAGGGCTGGCAGGAGCTGCCTCAACTGTCCCAGGAGTGATGTCCCCTGCAGTCCCACTGCAGGTCTCTCTGTCACAGAAACACTCGAGCTCACTGCTAGGCAGGTAGTTTACCTTCTGAGACAGGGCTTAACTCGTACGAAAAGCCTCACCAAATACCCCTTCATATAACCCACACATTACATTCCTGAAAATACCTACCGCTTTTCCAATCTCCTTTATCTTTTTGTACGTGGGATATTCAGCAAACGGGATATTTCGTTTCATGATGACATCTGTGAGGCCTTCCACACGGACACCAACCTACCAAAACAGCAGGAGAAAGAGCAGTCTGAAACATGCTTACAGAGACAAAACTTTGTGGTCAGTTTTAATTTTAATATGCTTTATTATTGATTTAGGTAAATATTTACCTCCACCAAATCAGCCACTGACCCTGCAGTATACGCCATCAGCTTGGAAATTATTGCTGATGGGAACATCGTTCCTGGGCTGTTCATAATAAAGACTTCTCCAGCAGCACCAACTTTATAGTTATCTATGGAAGAAGTAAACAAAAGACATCTTTTTTGTAACCATTCTGCTTTTCATTCAAGATCATATTACCGCAGCTTTTTCCATTGCCAACTCTAGGATATATAATTACATACATACATTTTAACTGTTTAGGGCCAAATTAATAAATGGATACTCATGCACTTTTAAATACGTGACTGTCGTATTTAATTCAATTTCTTATTGAAACCCAGAATGGACTTAAGGACTAAATGTCCCTTAAGAATGGATAACTGAAGTGAAAGTTTCCTGGTCACTGAGATGTTTTACTCACCGGAGTAACCACCAACACGCATGACCTTGCTATACCGGTAGCTCATCCTGTCCAATTTGGGGGCCAGCAGCTTAAGGGCGATGTTGCAAGCTGAAGATCTAAACAGAATGAGAAAGGTGATTATATCCTGAAACAAGCTGCAGCCCATCGGAATATAAACTGAGTTCAGCCTGTCAGCCCATGCAGCCCTCACTAACAGGAATGTAACAGAACTTGTTGTTTGCAGAAAATTGCCCACTTCGTTCCTGTCTCTACTTACATGTTGTACATGTACGGCAACGAGCTCTTCGACAAAGCCTTCATGTGGGAATACACAAAACTGGCCACTTGCAAATTGCTCTCCTTCATTGCCACATTAGCTATCGTTGTTATTAAAGGAAGAGCAGGCCGTGTCTCAAAGATAACAGCACAAGCCATCATCCGCACTTCAGGAGGAAGAGACTGGTCTGCAAGGATCTGGATGAGATATCCCTGCACCTGCAGAGAGAAAACAGTCTCCCGAATTACCAATAATTGAGACTTCTTTGGCAGACTGGATCCGCACGTAACTCACAAGAAATATGGGAGAGGGGCCATTGTCCTACAGAAAGGTTTCCTGATCTTTTTTACTGCATTTAAGGTTCCACTTAATTTTATTAACATAACTGAAGGGGCCATGGAGGAACAGCCCCATGGAGAGGGGTGGGCACTGAATCTGAAATAAATGTCCACATAGCAATGTACTGGGTGAACCCACCAAAACCATAAAGACATCAGCGTAGCTTTTTGCACTATTGACATTCAAAGACTGGTGAACAACTTCGGAAGAAACAGTGGTAGATAATAAGATAGATCCATTCTTTGGAGCAACCCCACTGACTTGGTGAGCATGCTTCAAAAAAGACTACTTTTTAAAAGGGAGCTTCAGCAGCTCACCACAGACCGTCTGAGTGGATGCTGTCTCCTATAGCTCCTATATCTGAGCCATCTGAAAGGCAGGAGCCTTGCCTATGCTCACCGTGCCAGCAACCTCAGAGGGAGGTCAGTGGTGACTCATCCAACCTCAAGGGAAGGGTCTAAAAGAAGCAGAGCAATGTTGACATTTTGCCTAGGAGGTCAATAGAAAGTGTGTCTCTCTCTCTCCTCTTGACTATCAAGGCAGGTTAAATTATATGTCTGACTTTTAGGTGGCTAAATTTCCACCATATATAGCTAGCACAGGACTTAAATGGTTATGACAGATGACTAAAGAAACACTGCTGATATCCTTCTGGAAGCTTCCTACTGACTAACAATTATTACAGTTCAGCACAAAACATCAGCTGAAATATAAATTCTGTTGTGTTGTTCTTAAAAATAATCCTTTTTTTTAAAAAAAAACATGCCAGATCAACAGGCATGATGCCATTAAATTCACTACCATTTACTGTATATATTCTCTAATTCTCTAAGTGAAGAAATCTCTGACAGATCATACTTACTGTTTTGGGATCCTTCCGAGCTATTTTTCTCAAAGCCATTATGGCATCAATCTGAATGTGGGTGGGGATATCAGAAGCACCAGATGAAGATATGGGCAGGAACTTCAGGATGCGCTTGATGCTGGCTGGTTCTCCCATGTTACCAATGCACTTCAGAGCTAATTTCATTTTGTCTTCACGGCCCCTGCTGATCGCTTCATCTGCCAGGTCATGGATGGGCTATAGGCAAAGCACATTTCTGTCTTATCTTCCTAATGTATAGATTGCCTGCAACATTCCTCTTACCCACTGAAAAGCCTATTGCAATAAACTAACTGGTTTTAATAAAATTACTCAGTAATATCTTTGCTCAGGATTTTACCTTACAATGTGAGAGCTGTAGTTTCAATGATGAAGCCATTATCTACATCAGTAAAATGATTAATTGCCTTTATTCTGAAGGAGGCCTATGAAATGTGTATTTCTGAGTCCAATTGCTGTTTTTATACTGTATCTTAAAATAATTAAGCTAATGTAATGAACATTGCTAAGATATTAAGAACAACCTGAGAATAAGCCACCCACCTGAAGAGCTTCTTTTGGACAAGCTGAGATCTGAGAACAGTATCTATTGACCACAGAACTGTATCCCAAGCAGGCAACTTGCTGAAGCATGGGACTTTTCTGAATTCGAGAACTGCTCATTAAATCCTGTGGGGAAAAAAGAGAAAAAAATAATTTGGTATTTAATAAAGTGCTTTTGACATAGCTTTCAGAGCAGGAAAATCATCGGAGCTTATCTGAGGGGAGCAGTTTCAGAATGATTATTGTTCACATCCTAAAAAATTAAATCAGCTTGTAGACTTTTTCTTTTCAAGCTTCACATAGGAGCTTAATTCCCCACTAGTTTCAATATAAATAAGCATATATATAAAGTTTACATAGCACCATTTTTATTTTCCTCAATTGAGCATAACATTGAAAATGCAAAGTTTATGGGTAAACATGAATCTATGAATAGAATATCCTTAGAACAACATGTAACTCAATTATGTTAATGATGCATTCTTACATCATAGCCTTTTTTTCCTATTTGAGAAGAAGAATATTGACTAGAAATGGGATTTTTCAGAAAAAATAATTCATTATAGTGTCAAAATATTTGATGTTTGCACTAATACTTTCACTTGCAGCACTTTACAGTCTATAGGAGCAGTTTGCAGTTAAAAGAGCTATTCAGGTGATGTAACACACAAAACACCATTTGTTTCAGAAGTAAGAGATTGAAGTGGACAAAGTTTTGTCTGTAGAAGGTATGACATGATCTCAGCAAACTAAAATGGGAATCACTCTCAGAAGTTGTTATGAGAGAGTGGCTTTTATATCCATGTGGCAAAATGAAGACACAGGACTGCATCTCTTCCCATGTATACACTGCCAAAAGAAATTCATGGTTCAACATTTTCACAAAATTGGTGTACATGAGGAGAATCCAGCCTCTAGTGCTCTTTATAATCAAAGGCTGTCATTAATTATCATTCCTTTTGTTATCAGATAGGAAAGACTCACATGGAATGATTCACTTACTGCTGCTATTGGAACAGTATCTTCGTCAGCTTTCATTAAATGGAGAGCAAAAGAAACACTTAGAAGAGTCTGAAGATAGTTGATGTCATCATTGCGAATTCTGGACTTAATGAATTTGAGTGCTTCTGTAGTGCCTGCAGCAGAAACTGCACTCAGCAGCCATCGCCTGCAAGCAGGATAAAAAAAATAAATCCTTAATTTCAGCTCTCAATTCTCCAAAACCAGAAAAGTTTCTTATAAATTGATACAATGAAATACCTGTAGCGGGGTTTATCTGAAAATTGTCTCCAGATGGACTCAAGAGCATCAGCACTTGCAACCCGGCAGAGCTGGACAAGCTCCAAGAATCTGTATGGAACATCGTAGTGGAAATCTTGCTGGTTATTCTGGACTATGTGTTGCAGTGTTTCTATTATCTGTTACAAAACATGAGAGAGAGAGAGTGAGAGAGCGTGCATACATAATTAAACAATTTGGAATTTATGATCGTTACTCTTGATATTTTTTTTTTTTTTAATTAGGAAAGCAATTTGAAGACCTAAAAATGCTATACCCTTTGCTCGGGGTTTTTCATCTTGATTAGCTGCAGTGGCATCTGTGGCAATACGGATGGGAACTGGTAACGAAGGCTTCCGTAGTTCTGCATGGAAATGTCCGGGACGCTCCCCCGTTCACTTCTCACTTCAAGCAAGGTGAGTTGTTGTCTGTCAAGAGACAAGTGTCATGGGAGGAACAAATTAGCTCTCTTCCTCCATTTGCCTTGGCTATTTGTTGGTTCAGTGATGCCGTGATGGTATCAGTTTTATTGTTTAATCGTTTTTCTGGTAACAGTAAGATCTTACAGTTTGCTAATGGGTAAAGCCTTCTAAATTGAACAAAATAGTATTAGTTATCTATTAAATGTATTAAATAGTTATTGTAGGTATAATAATAGTTAATAATATTATAGTTATAACTATTATAATAGTTATCTATTAAATAGTTTCCGAGGAGCTAAACCACTGTCTTCTGAATGAGAGTTATCAACAGAGTAATCAATGAAAAAAGCACCATCTTTCTCCTGACACTATAAATTAGCCCTTTTTCAGGACAGAGTAGTAAAGTTGCATTCTTATGGTATAAATGAGCAGAAGAGCTTTTCTTCTTTTTTTCCATGTAATTGTAGTGGCAAGGTTACCAGAGTACAAATAAAGAATGGTTCACTGACTTTTTAGGAGTGTGGAAACCCCAAGCATGAGCACTCACAGCTTTACCCAACTGCTGTGGAACTCAATTCTCATTTCACTTCAGTTAGGGGTGGAAATGGACTGCTGGAATCTATAATTATTCTCACTTCATGAAGCAAGCCTGTGTCCCACCTACCTTGCTTCCATGACAGCAACACCTGTAGGTTCACTGAGTGGTGAGATCTGATACACCTGCTGCGACACCACTTCTGTGATCAGGGTACCACTCTCTGACTGCTTCAGTTTGTAGGAGAAAGCTGCGGTCCCTTTTATGAGCCTTCCCTTCTGGAGGAGGATAGAGAGACCCAAAGAGTGAATGGGAACAGAACGGCCATGCGTCTAGTTAGGAAGATCTTTTCACATCTCACGTACCATCATGTCAACGGGACAAGGGTAGACGTAAGCCATTCCCACACTCTTCATCACTTTTTCCTGGCAATTATTTTGGTCTACACTTTTGGTAACAGAGACTCGGCTGTTCTTCCTGTCTTCCTGGATGACGTACCTCGTATGGCAAACACCTCCAATTCCAGCCTGCACACATCAACAGAGATAATGAGACTTCCCAATTATATCAGGATTTCACTGCGTGAGAAGTTTTATTGAATGGAGATTCTGAAGGAGCAGTAGGCAGGTAAGGACCCACTGAACAGTCTTAATTATGTTTCGAAACCTGTTACCATCACACACAATTAATCCTATTGAACTAAAAAATAGGCAAGTGAACATTACTCAGTCAGGGGACTGAGTTTAAAATGAAAAAGTAATCCAATAATCAATATCAACAATGAACAAATAAAACAGATCAAGAGGCTGCATCAGGGAAGTCATATAACAAAGACATTCAGAGATAATTTTTTTTCTTCAGAGCTGCATGTTCAGTCTTAAAGACAGATATCTTAAAGAGAATCCAGCTCAGATAATTCATTCAGCACATGTGCGCACATTTTCTTCTGTGTGAATGAAAACTGTCTTTTTTTGATGATGAGCATTTCAAAGTAGATGCAAATATACAGAAACTTGAAGGAAGAGCACCCAAAGAGAACACATCCTTTCAGTAATGTAGTTTTAGAATGCAAAAAACAAACCTCTTGCAATTCATACACGTTCTGTGACTTTTTAATGGTTATCTGGATCATGTTCAGTATTCCTCTCACGATGTTAATACACATATCGGGGCAGTCTTCTGGGCCATAAATGTTTCCAACCCGTCCACTATTGTATTCAAACTTGAAGGGCCGGGTAAAACATGAAGAAAGCATCTGGGTGATTTTGGAAGATCGAGTAAATTGGTCCCTGGGCCAGATGCCATTGTACTCCTCGAATTGTGGAGAGCGGATCTGGGAGGAAATTAAGAAGACATACTTATGTAAATAAAATTCCTTTGGTACTAAATATGCAAACAGATTGGAAGAAATTGACATAATCACTAGTTATATACTCTTTACTTCTAAATGTAGGCTTAGAAATTCATACAGCAGTTTGTTCTTTTGTCTCTTGTTTACACTATTGTAAAACCAATACAAACCCTCTGGGCTCAGCAGTTTTATTTTATCTTAGAGAAGCAGTTATCGTATTGCTATTATCTCTCAGAGACACTTATATTAATTCTGTAGGAAGAAAGGCTGATTCAAAAAGGAATTAAAAAAATTCAAATAAAATTATCCTTATTTTTTCAGTCTTAAAATAAATGTTCTGCTTTAGATGAAATTTAGTATTTTAGAAGTTCATATCATTCTAAATGTTACAAAAATACAGTTTTAGAATGTTGCATTTTAACTTGTAGCCTTGCAATTTTTTTTTACTAAACTAGTTGGTATATTTAATTCATATTTTTGAATTGCTTAAGTCAACCCTTTTTTAAAAAATAGCAAGCAACATAATTGTAAACATTTTTTCCCCCTATACTGCAGCACAATGTAAATCAGAAGCAGTTTCAGTGACTTTGGCAAAATTAGTGCCAGTTTATGTGCCTCAGAGCACAGCTAGGTGCACACTATCTAAGAATTTCAGGCTAAAAACTATAGTGTAAAATGTAATCCATAGCTCATAATTTTAGCATTTTGTCCTCCTCAGTGAAAGAACATTTAGATCTCAACTACAACCACTGAGAACTCTGTTACTGAACTCAATGCCCAAAAAACCAGCTCTGATTCGTAGCTAAATTAAACAGACAAATAACAGTATTTTTCTGAAACATACTTATTTCAGATGGGTCAGGTCCTATGTCTATTGATGTTGGCAGAGGCATGATTTCACATATACAGATCTTTTATGGCATTATCCAAACACTGAATATTATTACATGCTCTTTTCTGAACCATTTCAGTTTTTAATCTTTCTTTTATCACTTACCACTTTTTGTCTTTAGCTTTTATCTCTACATTTATTAATTGCCTGCATGACAGTAGTTTTACAAACCCAAGACACAGAATTTGGGAATTCTGAGACTAGAGGCAAATCTTTAACTTGGAGCAGGCTTGAGCTAGAAATTACATTTTCTAACGGAACCCCTGATTTTGGCACCTCTATTTCCAGCACAAAGTCTTGAGGAACACCTGCTACCAACAACAAACACCGGGAAGTGACTGGATGGCAAAACACTTGTCACTTCTGAAACTTCAGCTTGCAGGGCATTTTCTGACATCTACAGCACTAAGTCTCCAGTTGTGTATCCTACAGCTTTCCTAAACCACAGATCAGCCACATGCAATCACAACTGTGATTGACAGTTCACCGTCGCACGGTGCGTTTGGAAGAGGCTACGGTACCTTGAGGAGGTAGGTGTTCTCTGACAGCCCACTGATCTCCACTTTGCTGCTCAAGCGCACGCCGGCTTTGGCTAAGCTTTTTTCTTGAAGCCCATTCAACACCCAGCCTTCATAGCTGTACAAGTGGCTCTTTCTGCTGCTGAATCCAGGGTCTGTGAGGAATAACAGCCATTTCCACAATGTTTGCAAGCATCTTCTAATAAATAAAAATTACACGAAAGTCACCAAAAGAAAGCTATAGAAGAAAATTTACTTACCGATGTCAAACTTTTGGCTACCTGCAAAAAGAGATGGAAATCCCCATGAGTAACATTCATTCTAGATCTAATAATTACTTCTGAATTTAAGAAAATTTTGAGAAAGAGAGATGAAAGAGGGAGGTGCAGGCTTACCTACGAGGGTGAGCGCTAGTGCAAGTATGATTCCCCTCATAGTGAAGGTGAATGGGGCTGTGCTGGACATGGTGAGACTTTTATGGAAGAAAGCTGAGGAACACGTGGCTGTGTTCTGCTGAATTCTCAAGTTTTTTATCAGTTTATGTAAACACTTCCTTTTTTGCAATCATACTTTCTCTTCAGATAGAATAAAGGAAATGAGGTCATACCTTGGCATTCCACTGATTTTCTCATATAAGCCCTTTGCTGGATCGTTTAAAAATTTTTAATTATCCTAGTAAAACAATTTTACTGGGTTGTTTACAATAAATTTACAATAAACACATTACTTAATTTCCTAGATTGTATCACAGCTGGCTACTGGTACTTAGTCCTGCCACAGGTTAGGCTTATTTTGCCCGGGTTATGCTGACCTGGCATCTGACCCAAACTGTTATCTGACAGTGACCCAATTAACAAAGCAGAGTCAGTGTCACATACGTTAACGGTGTTCTTTCTCTTCCCTCAGTATAAGTTTACAGCCAACCCTGTAAACAAGGCAAGAGACAAGAAGAGATAAGCCCCTCCTCTTCTTATATGTGCACCAAAGCACATTTAACATCTCACTGAAAACCCTCATATATGCAATATATATATATTTATTTAAATAAATCAGAGGATCAGTGTGCCCTTTCAGCTCCGGTCACACTGACCAGGAATATTTTTTAGATGAACAAAGATTTCATAAGCAACCTGTAAATATTTTATCTTCCAAGGTAAATGACAGCTCAACATGAGCAATTAAAGCCCGCAGAGACTCTTCAGCAGTGAAGCAGGGGGAGTGCAGGTCAGCTAGAACTTCTGTGTTTCCTAAGGAGCCAAATCCAAAATGCAGCCAAGTCCCCGAGCCGGTGCAGGCTGGCAGCCAGCTCCATCACCCACGTACATCCAGAGCCCAGGAACGTGCTGACACAAGTGATCTCTTCTAGAAACATCGGGGGCATGGAGGCAAGCGGAGATGCACAAAACATGCTGGCTTTTTTGGAGCATGGTAATAGACTGGCAATCACAAAAAGGGAGGAATAACGTCTGGTCGATCCCCCCCAAAAAAGTTGCACAGTCTTCCAAAGTGAGCTGGGTGGCAACTGGATCAACCAAAAAAAAAAAAAGGCAAGGAAAATGCGTGGTGGGTTCTGAGGGTATTTCTGGAGGGGTAACTTCGGGCAATACAATAAACGTGGGGCTTGAAGTCACACAAAAAATGCAAATCAGATTCTAATTCAACATCTACGACGTATTGGGTATTCATCACTTGTTTTTGCTCCTAAAATGCCTGTGGTTGTAAGATGAACCACAGGAGTGTGATTTGTGGGAAACACCACTTTAACGACTGCAAATGAACATTTATTTTCTGTTCCAGCAGTTTCTACAGTCTCCTACTAGCAACTGCTCTTCCTGGGTTGTCAGTCCCACAAGTCTTGACTTTTTCAAACAATTCTCATCTGGGCTGTAAATCCACCTGGGCCTGTGCAACCCTTATTTTGCCAGCTCACTGCAGAAGACTACACTTTGGGGGGGTAAAGGGGGCACCAGCAATAAATGTCTCCTTTTTCATTATTATCAATCTATTATTACATTTAAGGGAATAAGCATGTTTTGTGCCTCAGGTGACAAACTTTTCACTCTGATGTTGGCAAGCTCTTCCATACAGTTGTAATTAATTTTTTATCATTGAACATTTCTTTAAAACAAACTTACCTGTTATGCATTCCAGTTGTACATCTTGTACAACTCAAAACTTGAATAAAGGAACACAAGTACTGTGTCAGTGTGAAAACTACAACACAGTGTATACCATGTTGGGATTTTTAAATTTTTATTTTTTTTTTACAGTTCAACTCTGCTGGGCATGATGAACATTAGAGATCAGATGTATTTATTGCTTTCAGACATCATCAGATAATTTGAACATTTCTGGATTCAACTATAATCAACCTTTCATATCTTTTCATCTACTCTCTCAAATTAGATGGGGGGGTGGAAGGGAAGAAAATAAAAGCAAGGTGTCTTACATGTCTTCACGCACAAAACCAGCTAAGTTAATTCAACATACACAGCATTGCCATTACCCTGTAAATGCTTCTATTTTCCTTTCAAGAATAAACTGTTTAAATTGATATTGGGGATTTATTAGTTACCTTGAAGTGCACATAGAGTAAAACATGAAAAAAAGCTAGCATAAGCTCTGATTTTTTTCATACACAAGGAAATTTTTGTCCTACTACAACTGAAATGTAGCAATTCTGCAGAAGCTGGTGGAAGCAGTTCTTCAAATTAGGAAGAGGGCTGTTTTGTAGGAGAAAGATTCCTTAAGTAAAGTTTTCATTTATTACTTCTTTTTCTGTACAGTCTGTTTTGCTGTATTGTATCACCCTCAACCACTGGGGATGAAAGGGAAAAAAATTAACAGCTGTAATCTAATCCTGGAAAGTGAGTTCTCATACCAAACGAGACTGATATTTACGGTAGTAAAAGCACTCTCTCATCACATAGACTGAAAAAGAATATGTATTAGATTTAAAGATTTTGTGAAATGAAGCGCCATCAGTTGAGGCCCACTCCTTTTTTCAATATTATGCATACGTGGCTAACAATAAGTGTATGGCAATCAGCCACTACTAATCAGTACTTCTTGTTCCTTCTGAAGGCTCTATCATCTCACACAGACACTGTGTGCAGCCACACACCTGTATCACCTCCCTGCGAGCACTCCCACACTTCGCTCGCACAACAGCCTTCCGGTAAGAAATATCCCAAACTGGTGTCCAACACAGTGAAGTATTGCCATGTCACCTCCCCACCAACCACAGCGCCTGCAGGACTCACACCCTTAACAGCAGCACCTTCAGTTTTTAAAGCTCCCCAACCACCGCATACGGAGCCATCCCAAACCCTAGGCACGTTTTCTCTTTATGGGGACAGGACCGAAACTAGGTCTAAGAGTCAGCTCGGGACTCAGCTGCATACACGCTTCTACTGGGTCTTCCATGGAGACATTCAAATTAATTTCTCCCTCTATAAAATGGGTTACAGAATGTTAAAGCAAAATATGAGTACAAAACATTTATTAATAGCTAATCATTTAATAGGCACCAAAAAAAAAGATTGACTAAGTAAATTATTTTGTTCTTCAAAGGCATTATTATGCTAACAGTTACTGTCACGAAGAAAAAGTCTAGTAAAGAAGTCCAACTAAAGGGAAGGCGTTGAAGTGTCCCAACCCAGCAGCAGCGCACACCCTGGTCCCTCCAGCACAGCAGCGGCCCCTAGCGGCACACACACACCGCCTCTGCCAGGGCCTGGCAGGTCTGCAACCAACAATCCCTCACTCTCACTTCGTTGCCAATATAATAGATTGTTCACTTTACAGCTTTCAATTTCTTTTAATACATATTTTTATTCTTCCATAACTAAAATTCAGGCAAAAGCTGTCCCAACATGTTGTGGAGAAGGTATAAACCCAACAGTAGCAATACACCGCTAAACCCTTTCAGCAGATGACACAACGGATCACCCATTTATTGAGGAGCAACTGGAGAAATAATACAAATAACATAATATTGATATTTTTGTCTTTCCAACCTGACCACCTATGCAGCAGAAAGCTGACCAAGAATACCATTATATACACTTTTGCTTCCTTAAGGACGCTGTGCCAGAGCCATACTGCAAGTATCCTCTGCAGCTTGCACTGAATTACAGCGTGAGAGGAAGCAGTAGCCAATGTATGAGCTAATCAGCAGAAACTGCATTCTTCTTGGAGAACTCCAGTTTCTTCTCTTTCCTATGTTACTCTATTGCTATTTTTCCAGGTAGTTCAATGACCCCGTTACATCTAATTCTGAAGGGAACGGGCAGATCAGCAACGCATTTTCAGGGAAGGATTCTAAGCTTGAGAGTTCATTTCCTTCCCATGACTCCTGAGACCGGCAGAAGTTCCCTAGAGATCTTCTGAAAGGTCAGTTACACCCAGATCAGAGCTACACACATGCATTCACATATAGATGAAAACCCAACAGGAGACAAGCTGGATTTCTGATTGGCAAGGAAAAGTGCATGCTTTGAGTCAGGTGAAGGAAACTTTGAAACACCTTACCTCTGCTTGGCTATTTTTATTACACTATAATCAGAACACATTTCCCAAAGGCTACACCAAAAAAAGATTCTGGAGTCAAAAGGAAAATCTAACAAAATAGAAAACCAGCATCAGATTTGTTGACACAGTGTACAGCCCTAAACCATGATAACTTAGAAGTTTAGTGCACACAAAACACAGAACCAGAGTTTCTTAGAATAGAATTACACGTTTATTGTTCACATTTGAAATAACTTGGTTCCTGACTGAACCATTGAAAGTCCTAATGCATCTGTAAACTGAGCATCACTATAAAACAATTTAAAATGCCATGTAAAATAATATCATGTATGCATGTGTTTCATTTAATGGTTTCTCAGCATAATCACTTTGTCTATTTACAAATATATAAAGATTTTGCACTTTAAGTCATCTGAAATATCAAAGAGGTATTTTCAAATCACACAATAAATATAGAACCTGTTTTGTTAAAAATCTACGGTATACTGTACATTCAAGTTGAGGCAAAAGAAGTTTTAATGCCAGTTACTCTTGAGACATAAATGAATGTGTCCAATAATTAAACAATTTCTAAAAGTGCTATTTCTGCCTGTGATGAAAGGTATCATTAGGATCCAGTATTTCATTACAGTCAAAGCTTCAGACCATTGCTTCATTCACAGAATCAGAGCTTCTGTTACTAGAAAAATATCAAAGCTTTTATATATATTTTAAGTTATCTTCTTTCAAGAGTTGCAAGAGGCAAAAAATGGTCTAAAAAATAAAAGCCATATGCACACACATACACACACACGCCACAATTCAGATCACCAATAATCCTCTAGCAGAATGATCAAACTCACAGCGTTGTGTTTCACTTGAGAATGATACGTCTATGAACAATCTCTAACAAAACACCCAGCAGGCAACCCTAGGAAGTCTAAGGCAGTTGT